CAAAGCTTCAGGCAACCACAACGCCAGCTCATGCACATAGAGGAAATGAGCTCATTGACAGGCGACCAACTGAAACAGACCTTAGGTTTGAAAAGTGCTGGAAACATTTGGGATAATATAAGCACAACACTCAAAAAAAAAGAAAAAAAAAAAAAATATATATTATATATATATATTATGAAATTAGATAAGTCTGGTCATTTTCAGACATTTTAATGTGGAAAAGTATTTCAACTTTAAATACAGTGTGAAAAATTCAAACTTCAGTTCAACTTTAATGACTCCTTGATCTTCTCACAATAAAACCAGACAGCTTCAGGCTTACATGAAAAAAGATAAAAGTTACAGTTGATGTGAGAGACTCACTCAATTCATAAAGAAGGTTTTCAAATTCAACTGAGTTTGTTTTATCCGGGCTATCAAATAACTGACACTAATTAAGTCTCTATCATGATTGTGTGAGTGAACAGACAAACTGTACACGACGAGGAAAAGAATACGCCTTTATCTATGTTTTCTGTCGGGTCTGTGGTCAGTCGTCAACAGCTGTAGTGATTTTCAAGAGAATTTGAGAGGAACACAAACAACCTCCCCGCCTCACCCCGCAGGTCAAAATGATGTCTCAACCCACTTTCTATCAGTTCGACTTCACTCGTCTTTATCCTGCTCTCTGTGTTGTTCCAGATCATATCCTCACTCCTCCACTGTCAAACACATCAACAACAGACAGGGAGATGCAAAGACTGTTGGGAAATAAATGCACGCTCCAAGACACTGATAAGTCAGTAGTACTACAGGATGATGGGCGTCTCTCTCTTTTCACCAAACCTCTTTGACAAACAGCACATTACTGTATTATTCTCCTGCATTTGCAAGCAGATCTCAAACAGGTGGCTGAACAACCTGACACAGTGATGAAAAACAGAGGAGAGGAGAGGAGGTTGTAGTGAGGTTGACTGGTTCCAGGCAGGTATGTTTAAACAGACTTGCAGGTCACACAAGTCGTGGTTGTAAGTGAGCTTTACGATGCCTGGAGGAGATCTTTAACAGCAAAACACTTTTTGGTTGAAAAATAAAATTCAGAGGATAAGCAACAGATAAGAAACACAAAAGCAAATCCCATTATGAAAGGCTCACTTGCTTTCAGTCACCACTGAATGGCTTTTTCTTTTCCTCAATTTTCCATCATTACATAGAAAGAAATACCTGAAGCATTTTAACGCACAAAGCGGGCGGATTTTAAAGTGAAGTCCGATAAGCTGTTGTAACTATTGTCAAATGATAGAAATGCATTGGTGCTTTTCAGTGGTGCATGTCATTTATCAGCCCCTGCAGAAACGCAGCAGTGAGGTTGGAAGCCAAAAGTGATTTTAGATTACCTGATCAATCTCCAGAAAATGCGAGGAAAGTACACAACATCTAAATAACAGGCCAGAAATAAAAGACAGGTGTAAGCCGAGCAAAAACCAGCTGAGCTTCAAACACTGGACACTAGAGCATTAAAAATGCAATAATCGAGGGGGCAAAGATAGTTTTCACATTGTCTGAAACTTTGATCATGGTGTGTTGGCAGAACTTTGTGGGTACAACACTGCGGCAGAGGAGGCTGCATCCACTGAGAGGCTTTGGAATAGAGAAATAAACAATGACTACAGGAGGTGTGGAGGAGCGCCAGCAGTTTCACAAGTGAGTTTTCCTCTGAAGCAGTTGTAGGGATTTATTAGGTAAAAAAAAAAAAAAAAAAAAAAAAAAAACCAAGAGGGGGGGGGGGGGGCATGCAGTTTATTGCTGACTCTGCATCTCAGAGCAAAACAAAAGAACACTCTGAGCTTCTACGTGGTGATGTGAAAAGCTTCCTCGCAGGTATAGATGTTAAATTCATGAACACGGATGAGATGGATCGTTATCACACCCAAGGATGAGAAGAAAGTCAGGCGGACAGGCTGGACTTTGAAGGTAACGCAGATGTGATGGAGACCGGGTGATACGGGCGCTATAATCAGGATGAGGATTAAACGGCAGCTCCATGTCAGAGTTGGCACGAATTTGTCTGAGAATTCAAGGCTATAGGATTCTTTTGTTGCCTCCACTGCTGTCAACTCCAGACGAGGCGGGAGACAGGGTGGCTTTGCATCTCATCCTCGGCAGAAACGTTACGCAACCGGTAAACAAAATATACAGTTTCTATTACGGTTCGTGTGGATTCAACTTTACGACTCTCTGTCAGAAAAGTAGGAGAGTTGGAGCTCATTCATATGCGCTCATTTGTGTTTATGTTCTGCATATATGCATTAATGCTTGCATTCGTCTGGTGCATACTTGTGTCCATGCATACTTATGAGTGCAATTATGCATGTGTGGGTGCGTGCAGCGGGTGACTGGTCAGTGGGGAACAGGGTTTGGGATGATGGGGGATGGAGAGATGGGATTGCATTCTGGGGGTGGGACGGTGGGGGATGGGGTTAACGGGGGAACAGGGTGGAGGAGGATCATGGTGCATAAAGGGTATGATGGTGGTGTGAGCATCAACAGTGTTTTAAGGCCGCTACACATGTTCTGTGAGGTTGAGCTACAAGCAGCAGTCGGGTTAAAAATAAGGCGACACAGGGATGACAAATAAGGAGCTGCAGCACAGGTTCTTTCCTGTCAGCATATTTCATAACCATGGTCTGTTGCACACATTCAGTCACTGGATTCTCCAGCTTGGCATTGTGTACAATAATATATTGTGACTACAAGAAGAATAAAAAGTGAGACCATCCGTTCAACCACTCAGAAACTTAATTTAAAAACGCAGCCACTTCACAGTCAACAAGAAAACTGTGCACAGGATTTTCTGTGTGTACAAGCTAAATCCTCACTGTACTCTTCCCCCCCTGCGCAGCATATGTTGTACAGGTTTACACTCCGCTGCGCTACACCAACTGTCTCTTTATCCCGCTCACATGTAGAAATAGAAAAAGGGTTTACAGAAGCAACCCCTGAGAATGGCTTTAATAGTAGCACATTAATTAAATATTGCCAGAGCTGCGCAGCGTGCCAGAGAACCTCTTCTCCAAATCAAACAGGGTAAAAGTTGAACGGCTAATATCCTTATAGCCAATCAGTGGTCCAATACTAGAAGGACGCCAGCGCAGAGACGGATCCCACTCTGCACAGACAAGCCAGCCTCATCTGCCTGCCCACGCACATACAGCCAGCCACACAAGGAAGAGGAGGTGGATGCGGAGTGAAGGCCGCTCTCCTAATACAAAAGGCAAGTAATCCTGGACTGTCATAAGCATCACATGGTGGGTTGACAGTAGTCTCAGCTTTAAAGGCTTTCAGGAGAAATGTTTTCACTCAAACCCTTAATGTGTCAGAAGCTTTACATGATGGAAAACACAGAGGGGTAATAACATCATCCCATTTCATTCAGAGGGGAAATACAGAGGAAGTAAAGCTTGGCAGAGTCTTTCTCTCCAAACATCAGTAGTTTGCGTGTGTGTGTGTCTCTGTGTGTGTGTGTATGTGTGTGTGTGTGTGTGTGAGAGGCAGCGATACATGAATGTTTTAGGAGCAAAGATGCTCCAAATGACCTGCTTTCTTTTTTGGCATGCCGGAGGACACGTCCTGCTGGTCTCAGAGACGGGGCAACAATGGCAACACCTCCAGACTAACGCACACAGGAATCATAAGGTGGTTGTGTGCAGCAGGTTTGTGTGAGTGGGAGTTTTGGAGCAGACAGAAACAGAAACAAAGATGGAGAGTGCTATAAGAAGAAAGAAAGAGACAGAGTGTGAGTGTGAGTGTGTGCGTGTGAGTGTGTGTGTGTATATGCATGTGTGGGGAGGTGCAGGAATTCCTCCCGAGCCACAATTAACCCGAACGCATAGGAACATAGCTGCACGGAAAAACACGCGGAGCTTGGCTTCAGCTTTGGCACAGCTTCACTGGTTTGAGCGCGAGCATTCCTGCGAAATATAGGCCACGGGCTCGCAGTCAGAGAGGAAACTGGAATTCTATTATTTCCGCGCAGGAACAACACATCCGAGATACCTGTCAGAGCTCTGTGCAGGCGGACTGATGCGCCTCGCCGTCTGTCTCTCAGCTTGACGGCTTTTTATTTGACAATGATTGGAAAATGGTTCCACCCAATCAACCCTCATTTTAGGAAAACATGTTTGTTGAGCTTTCTATATATAGAAAAAAAAACAAAAAAAGAAAAAAAAAAAAGGGATGAAATCACCAGTACACACTCATGGCCTGCAGGCACACACACACACACACACACACACACACACACACACACACATAAACACACCTAATCCCCCACTCAAAACATGATTTTATTTGTGTCTCTTTGGAAACTCTGTATGCTTTTATGTGTCCCTGAAAATATGCCACTGTCATGCACGGTGAACAAACGGGAAGAAAATAGATGAAAAAGCTAATAAAACAGCAAATCCACCATAAATATAATATAAAAATTATAAGGGGACAGAGAGCGAGTGGTGGAGACACGGGTGCATTTTCTGGTTCATAACTGTTAACATTTTGAGGAAACGCGGCTCATTAGGACGGAGAGGTTTGGATAAACAGTCGTGAACAGAGCATTAAGTCAAGCTCTAATGGACAGCTGATGGAGCAGTTCCAGGTACTGTCTCCAGATGAGATTAATGACATAATTAATTAGATTTTTTTTAACTCGTGGAACGTTTTTCATTGGTAAAAAAAAAAAAAAAAAAACGAAAAAAAGAAAATTGTCACATTACTGTCTAAGATCATAAGAATAGTTTCATTTCCACACCATAAATTGTTGTGGGAGGGGAATTATGGAGGAGACAATGAGGGGTGGTTATGTAGTAATTATGAAGTCTTTATGATTCGGGTGTGTTGCTCTGACAGGTTATTCCTCTTTACTGTGACATCTGCACCATCACACATCTTTTTTTTCTTTTTTCCTTCCCCTCATGTCTCTATCTCTCTAGCTCTAAGTCTCCACTGGTTGCAACACTTACGACAGTTTTCTTCATCACTGTTGTCTGAGCAGTCGTCATCGTCGTCGCACCTCCAGATGGTCGGTATACACCTTTTGTTGTTGCACTGAAACTGTCCATCCTCGCACTCATCCGTTGCTGGAAGAAGAAGATGGGGAAAACACACACACACACACACACACACACACACACAGGGGTGGGGGGGCGTCCAGATGGGTTAGTGGAGTAGTAACCGCAAGTAGTTCAACTGTCATTTGCAAATGAATGCCTAATTGATATTCAGCTTTCATTCAGGTCAATTGGCTGAGGCGCTGGGAGCGTCACGGCTCGTGTTTTTCCTTTCAGTTATTTTTCTACTTTTTTCTTTTTTAAAGACGATTAAAAACAGTTAAAGTGAGAAAAGAGGGAAACAGCAGCAGTAGATGAGGAGGAGGAGGAGGAGGCCCCGTGTCTGCCGGACACAATTCTCCGCAACACGAAGACAAAGATTCAGTGTGGGCCACTACATCTACTACCTCTGATGCAGTATGGATGCTCACAGCCGGGAAACACATGACAGACTTGCAGAGGCTTTTCCCACCATGAACACACACTCATTCGCCCGGGGAGCGAGCTATCACAGGTTTAACATGGAGGAAAAGATGATTCTGAATCTTATGTCTTATATCTTATCTTGTTTTTCCCTCTCTTGGTATCACACGCGCGCTCAGTACCAGGAGCGCTTCCAGTCTCTCACCTCTAGTACAGCCCATCTACACACACACACACTCACACAGTTACACACTTACACACACCGTTTAGGCAATATTTCATTTAATTCATGTCACACACACAAGGGGAAAAAAGCAGCACTGACCTTCCGATAAATGAAGCCTCACGACAAACAAATGAAAAAGTAACAACGTCCTTAAATCCGTCCACATTTCTGGCGGAGGTGATGGAGCTCATTCACATCCACTGAACAAAGCCCGAGAGCCGCTCTCGTTGTAGCTGCGACGCCGCTGCCGCTGCTGCTGCCTCTCGGCTGTGAGACGCCCCCTCCCTCCGCCTCACTGGCTGCCCGGAGCGTGACGACATCGCGCAGGGCGGGGAGAAGAGTAGAGTAGAATAGAGTAGAATAGAGTAGAGTAGAATAGAATAGAATAGAATAGAATAGAATAGAATAGAACAGAACAGAATACAATAGAATAGAATAGAACAGAATAGAATAGAATAATTGTAGTAGGCCTTTTTTTCCTATTCTGTTCACATAAATTCCACGGGGTAGCGGTTCTGGAGCTTTCGATCAGTAGATACTACATGGACCCGATTTGTCTTCTCAACTCCTACTACTGTTTCAGACTCAATAGAATAGAATAGAATAGAAATGACTAGACTCATCTCACTGCGCTGCAGAACAGAGAAGTTCGGGGGAATCCCACTGCCATCAGGCTACACAACACCTCAGCCAAAGGAAGTAACTAATAATCTAATAATTAATAATTATTTATTATTGACTGTTTTTTATCATTACTATTATTATTATTATAATTATTATAGTACTATTATCATTATTATTATCAATAATGAGCTAATGGACACATGAATTTCCCCTATGGGATAAATAAAGTATCTATCCAGCTATCTAGACTGGACTAGAACAGAACAGAACAGAATAGAATAGAATAGAATAGAATAGAATAGAATAGAATAGAATAACAAAGCCTAGTATTTTTTCAGACTGTTTTGTTTTTGAGTTGAATTTTTATTCTTGACATTGGAAACTGTAGTTGACAAAATCTTTACACAAGGTCCATTTAGTAGCTGTTCTGGAGCTTTCAATCAATACTTTAACAGCTACCACGGTGGGATAGTTTTCTCAACCACTGTTTCACTATAGTAATCACACAGGCCACAAAGTAACACACAGGAGGCCAAGCTCTGTGTTATTATGACCAGCAGGGTCATAGCATATGTCAGAACATACACTGGGCTCATTTGATCCACATATTAAGTTAAATAATTCAATAAGACATGATTCAATGGCTAATTCTTAAGTCAAGTATTCGTTATTTCAATGAAACATTTCTATGTTTAAAATGGCCACAAAATTGTGATATTCTTTGTCTCATTGCGCTACTTAAATTGTGTGAAATCTTTATATATTGATAAAATGTCAGCCTTAAAATTGTTACATATTTTATTTTGGTTTCTGCAAAACCAAAAGAATAACCAAAGAGGTCCAAAGGAAAGGGTTGGAGTGTGTTTTCAGTTACTCTGACAGGACCTGTAGTCGGGTTGCAGAGGAACTACATTATGTTACCACAGTGTTTGAACTTATGACAGTAACAGTAGCTTAATTTGTAGCATCCTAAAACATGCAACAAAACTGCCAGGAGGGTGAGGGAGCTCCCTCCATAGACCTGTTCAAAACTGTGTGTTTACTCCCACACAGTATTAAGATTTCTACTTCAGGCAACATAGAGGAAAGCGCCTGTGTGGGTTGACACGGGGACTTGAAGGTGTTATAAAAGAACTGAAAACATCCCCCCCACCCCCCTCCACCAAAGAGTTCCTTTCACTGGCATGACCTGTGACCTCGGTGAAAGCCTTAAACTACTTGCTGTCATCTCACCAAATGTGTAGAGCCGGTTGGTTGATCTTTGCCTCTCTGACTGTCTCTGTTGGTTTGTTGTTACAGCAACACTCAGTCATATTTGAGCTTTAATAGCAATATTCCTCTTAAAACACTCATAGCAACACATGTAGTAGTATTAGTATTCCTCAACCACAGATATGGACAAAATGCCCCACAAATAACATGTTTGGTGTCATACAAGCCTGTGTTCTCATTGTTGTGTCCATAAAGTGGTTGTAATGACATTAAAATACTTAATCTTATTTTTCTTTCGCCTGTCTATGCCACTGAATATAGGTCAGGTTTTACTGAGACAAGACTATAATATTCCCTTCATATTTTTCTTGTGCTTGTCTTTGTTTTTTCTGTCCGTGGAGCCACAGTGTTCCCGTGGCTGGACTTCAAATAATTTAATATGGAGTGTCTTCCTCCAACACGAGCTGGAAAACATGTTCCAGTAGGCTACAGGAAGTTATCATTATTTAATAAAAAAAAAAGTAAGTTATATCTACTTAGCATTACAAAGGTAACACTCTCAAAGCCCTTCAGTACCTTTTGAACAGCAAACCAACAAGTTGTGTGAGCTGTCCTCTGGTGCTGCTGCCTGGCTGGAGACATACCAGAGGAAAAATAACAGGTAGCTCCACTGCTGCGTCGAGTGAAGTATGTGAGAAACCCAACATCAAACAAATGCATTTTGATGCAGCATTTATCCAGACAGGCCAGTTTCTGTTTTGTTTTGATGGTTTTTTTCCTGTGTAATACTAATACTAATCAAGTGAGAGGGACAGGGGTTCTGGGTTTGTCACACCCACTGAGCCAGTGAAATCAATTTCAGAGCATGACAGGCAGGTAATACAGTGGAGGGGACCAGCAGCAGATGGGTTCAGTAGGACAAGCAATTTTAGGTCCCTGTGGTCTTTTTCTACTCAGGTTAGGGAGAGTAATTTAGAAATGCTTTGTGAAGTAGCAAGCTTGAGGCCTGTTCAGGGATGTGGCACTGGACTTTCTTAAATCCTTCAGAATATAAACAATAGAAAGACATATAGTGTGGCTGCTGGAGAGAGGAGGAAGATACGGGACAGCGTGGCCTCAGCGAGGCAGAAACCAGCACCCTGAACCCCACCTGTTTCAGCATCTGCACAAGTCTCTTGCACAGTGCTGTATCCTGTTCAACTACCCCATTATTAATCTAGCCCCTAAGCAATAATGTGATATGATTCTCATCTATATGCAAATTATGTGAATGCTAAGGTAAACCGCAGGCTATACAGTTTCTCAGAGGCAGCAGCAACAGGAAAAGGCCCCCTGTACCTCTTTCATTAACCAAACTGCAGCGTTATTGCTATTACTAAACACAATGAGGTAATACTCGTCTGCAGATAAAAGTGCATCAGTAGTATTTACAAGGTCTAGTGGCTCCAAGCCAGAGCGAACGAGGCCGTCTTTCAAATCTAGGCCACGACCATTGCTGACAGCATTATCAGTCATTTTAATGGAGATAAGCTGAAGGATAACTTAATCCCCCTCCCAACCTCAACATATAGTAAACACACAAAGAGACACTGGCTCACACATGCACACATTTGCACAAACAAATGTATTCACAGCCATTAAAGTCATGGCACTGAGAAAATCATGGTACTGTAGCTGGGGTCTGTTGTCATGGTTGCACAGCGACTGACCAGCAAGAATAAGGCGGCAGGAACAGACTGAAAGGAAGAAACACAGTGGTTGGTGAACAGGTGTTCAAGAACTACAGTCTGAAAATGAGTATGTTAACAACATCAGCCAGTGCGATATTAGCTCGTTCCAGACCGGCCCGTAACAAATTCTGATTCTGAGCGGTGACCAGGGTGTTTAGTCGCACAGGAAAACATCCCAGCACAAACAGAGCCCTAATTTTCTGAAAAACTCCATGTCCCTTCTTCACGATAAAACCCTGAGTACTGAAAGCCAGAAGACAAATGACTTGTGAATCACAAAGTAATGAGTTTTTAGCTTTAATTTCTATCTTCGCAGGGTGCATGATCCTCATCATATAAATTATGTAACGAGCTGCTCATAAAAAATAACGTACATACTGTGGGTTTTGTACTTCATAAGGCAATTATAATATGTAAAGTACAGTATTTGTTATCATTCGTGCCCATCTGGCCTGCTCAAGTAAAAACTATGCACTGAATATTGATGTAGCACAAGGAATGTTTTTAGCTATCTGATTCTCACCCATCAGAGATAACACCGACTAAATCGAGTTTACAGTCAATTTGCTGTGAGGAATGAGTCATGACTAAATGAAAATGCTTTTAGCACACTGAGGATTAAGCAGGAGGCAGGGTACATCTGAGAGAGAGAGAGAGAGAGAGAGGGAGAGAGAGAGAGAGGAGAGAGAGAGAGAGAGAGAGAGAGATTGTCAGGCAACTGAAATACAGAAATAGTAGAGAGCAGATTTTGCATGCTTAACACAGGCCATGGTTGCTCAGGCCTCAGGCCCTGTCCACCGGCCTTTAACCCTCCAGTCTCCGTGAGCAGTGTATCCCTCTAAAAACCAGGGAGCTGCCTTTTTCCCCTGCTGTGACTCAAATAGCATCGACAAGAATGAAAAAAGAAGACCAAGTAAATGTATTGGTATAATTTGAAAATCTTAAACCTTTAAAAGACACTGCGAAAAAGTAAAATGTGAAATAACAGGACACAAGAGTCTATAATCATGCTAGCAGCTTTGACGACTTACACACAGCAGTACTTTGAGCTAAATGCTTACATCAGAATGCTAACTACCTATGTTTGCCATCGAAGTTTAATGTCTTAGCATGCTAACGTCGGCTAATTAGCAGCAAACATGAAGTGCAGTTGATGCTGATTGGAAGATTTGTTGGTATTTAGTCAACACACCAAAGTTAAATCTTTGGGCATCACCACAGTCGGCTGGATTCATCCTCCGGGGACCATGAGTGTCTATACAAAATTTCATGGCAATGCATCCAAGAGTTGTTCAGATATTTTAGTATCGACGGAAGTGGTGAATGACAACCGCAATCTCTAAAGCCACCTCACTGGTATAACTAAAAATCTTCACAGTTTTCACATCCACTATTACTCAATACTCAATATTTCCCATGTAGCAACTGTTGAAGAACTGATTTGTACGGCTGTCATGCATTGCAACAACTGCCCAATAATTTCCCCGCACTCGGATACACTGCAGATGTGTACTGTAAAACACTTTTTTATTATCCTGCAGAGGACCACTTATGCCACATAAAAATCCCTCACTACTCAAGCTTTTTGACAGCCTGTCTACAGAA